AACGGCAAAACTTTTGACCCTAATGTTCTGATTTTTTTATCAAGCGTTCGGACTTTCTCCTTTTGAAAGGAGCAGAATCGAATACAGTATCTAGGTCAGATTTTCGCTTCGGACTAGATACTCCTCCCTCGTTTTCTTCGTCCTGCTCAGTGGCCTCTCCCTCTTCCGGCTCATCTTCAGAAGATTCCCTAGCTTTTGTTAAATCAAGTTCCTGGCTTTCCATATTCTGATCCGTATTTTTTTTGCTGCTTGCTACGTCGTCTTTTCTAATGTCCTCTACCTCCATCAGGCTAGACTTGACTGAATCTGTGACGGCTGGAGTGGAAATACTAGCAGATTCTTTACCTTTGATGGTGTCTTTTATAATTGACGATGTAATCAGATACCTAGAAATTTAATTTGATAACAGAAATCTCTCAGCATACCGTCGTCTTCTGACGCACAAAGTTCTGTAACTATTGATCCGAGTCTTTGTACAAGTGCTGCTTGGTATTCCGTTGATTCTATTATTTCTTTTAAAATATATTCTTTTATTTTTTCATCTTCTCGTGCCCTGTACACACGAAAAACCTAATTGAGTTGGGTAATCGGGTCAAGCTTCCGCTCGACAAATATTTAAAGAGGAACGTACTTGTCAAAGTCGTTAAGTAATATAACATGTATTTCTGTTCGGTCCTTGTCTAAGAGCGACGGATCGCCATCAGTCCGTGCTTCAAACAGCAACTTGAGTCGTTCGTTAAACTCTTTGCCTTTATCCTAGAGCGAATCAATAGTATGAGAATGGAATCTATTTGAAATTAAACGGGTCGCGAAAAGTTTGCTTTCTGATTACACTTTTCAAAAATTCTTCCAGTAATTCTCTTCGTAATTCATCAAATGCTCCTTTACGTTTAAACTCTGATGCTACTTCTTCTGGTGTCAAATGCATTTTCGCAAATATAAAAATGTGTTTTCAAGCTACGCGAAGAAAAAGCAGAAGGCGTAATCGAACGGACAAGAAAAAAATCAATTGTAGTTGAGACCGTTCTGGTGACGTTCACTTTGCATGCCCCAAACATTCTTTTCCACGTGCGTCCAATAATGGAAAAATTGGTTTTTGATCATCGCACGCATCACGTATCCATAAATACAAAAAATAAATATCGAGGTTCCGCTTGATCGCGTCTTTTTTTATACAATGTCAAAAGTTGAACAAAATTCATCTCTCACTCCTCTTCTTGACGATGATTATGATACCTTCCTTGAAGAAAACGAAGACAGCACGGCGTTTCGGACTCCTTTTGACAGTCAGCTTCAGAAATTGTTACGACGTGAAACGGAGCTTCGTCTCCGAATTGACGAATTGTTGGAAGAAATTGCAGAATTAGAGGCCATTACCAGAAAGCAGCAACAACAAAAAGAACCGGGCGAAGTAAAAGAAGGTGTGCAGCAAAGTGGACAAGCAGGAGAGCCCAACAACAACGAAAGTAAGCCCGGTTGTTTATGAATGGTTATAGAAATGTATTTCATTGATGCTGGAATGATAGAATCCCTTTTCGTTTTTCAGATGATTCATGGGAAACCTTTCAAGCACCAGAGTGGTGTATTCCAATTAAGGCAAACGTCTTGACCTTTGAATGGGATGTGAGTGCATTCTTTCTTGGTCTCAATCATTCGTGTCTTGTAAAAATAACGTGTAATAATATGAAACCGTTTTGTAGGAACTCGCAAAGGCATGTCAATTTGATGTCATACTTATGGATCCACCATGGCAATTAGCCACTCATGCTCCCACTCGTGGTGTATATATTATTACTCTTTTTCCATAATGTTATCATTCTTGAACAAAAAAAAGTCCCAATTCAAGCTTTTCTTTTTTCTTCTTCTTTTTTTTAGGTTGCTATTGCATACCAACAACTTCCTGACGTGTGTATCGAGGAGATGCCAATACAAAAACTCCAAGAGAATGGCTTTATCTTCATATGGGTTATTAATAACAAGTACGCTAAAGCATTTGAGATGATGCGTAAATGGGGTTATACCTACGTCGATGATATCACATGGGTCAAACAGACGGTTAATCGAAGAGTGGCAAAAGGTCATGGGTTTTATCTCCAACACGCAAAGGAAACGTGTCTAGTCGGGAAAAAGGTATATGGTTGTTGCGGTGCAGAATCAGTTACAATGTCTGAAATAGCTATTTAATAACTTAACAATTAAAAAGGGCGAAGATCCACCAGGATGTCAACATTCAATATTATCAGATGTTATCTATTCGGAAAGACGAGGACAAAGCCAGAAACCAGAAGAATTATATGAAATGATAGAGGGGCTGGTGCCGAACGGTATGTCTTTATAAATTACATTCTATTTACCAAA